CTAAGCAACCGTCCCGCATTGTTTCAGCCTTCTGGTGGTTCTTGGGTTGATAATCTACTTTCAGAAGAGTCCCAGGGCCGGTTCTTGGGGCTGTTTTCTTTTGGGAAGTGAAGTTAAGGTTCTTAGGGTATTCTTGTGTGTTTGACAAGGTATGGGTGTTTTCTGAGATGATCAAAAGGCAGGTAGTTTGTGAAGATCGGATGCTGCCCATTCAATCTAATGGAAAGTTTAGTTGATCTCTAGAACAGTGTTTTAAAAGGCGTGGGAGGTGTACGCTTGGAGGCATGCCTCCAGGTGAGGCACTCCCAAAATGCCCTGAGGCGTATACCAGAGGCGTTGACACCTTTGAGGCGTACGCCTCTTGCGCTTTTTTCATGAGGCATGCTAGAGGCGTACGCCTCATGCGCCTCATGCACATCTGATATAAAAAGATAGAAAAAACAATAAAAAAAAGGAAAGGAAAAGAAAGGAAAAGAAAGGGAAGGGAAAGAAAAAGAAAGAGAAGAAAAAAAGAGAAAAGGAAAGAAAAGGAAAGGAAAGGGAAAGAAAAGATCAGGGGAAAGAAAGTGGTTTGCCCCCTGCCCCTTCGGTTGGGGGGCTTCACCCCCCAGACCCCCCCTTTCAACTATTGTTATGCATCTTTATTCTTCTTAAATAAAAGATTTTTATTAAAAATAAAGAAAAAAATGAGATCCCCCCTTCCTCTTCATCCTCCTATTCAGTGTTGTATGTATACTTGTGTTCTTATTTTGATTAATGAAAAAATGAATGGGAATTAAATTTTTAAGTAAGCAGGTTAAAAATTACTCTCATTCATGTTACAAAAAGAATTCATTTTTTAGGAAAAAAATGTTTTTGGTATGTAGTAATATTTTCTCATTTTTCCCATTTTCACTCTTTATTTTCCATCTTAGAATTTCATCTTGGGTAAGAATGAGAATGAATGAGAGTTGAACCAAACATGGCCAAAGTTTTAACAATTAGCAGGAATAAAAACAAAGTTTCTCACCCCCCACAATTAATACCATTAACACCCAANCCCCCCCCCCAAGAACAAACTAACAACAAAGAAAACCCAATAGAGGGTTCACTTATCTCCCACTTCCTTGAGCTTGTGCAGAATGCACCCTTTTTTCTTTGTTTTCTTAATCTTCTTAGTAGGACCAGCCCATAGAAGATGGCGACGCATTGTTAATGCTCTTAAAACTGGTACTGTTGGATGTTGCTTCTTATTATTGAACCTTCTTACTGCAATAAGCCTGTAGTCATTCAGTGGGACAAGCTTTAACTTTTCAGGGTCTCTTTGCTAACTCGACGTTCCCCTCACCTTCACCGCAACGTTTCTTGGTGGCTGCATGTGTTACTACTGATCTACCTTCATCAATAACCAGTTACGATCTTGGGTAGGACATAACATAAATTCTGTCTTAAGGGAGACAAACACCTCCAAAGAGATAACTGTCAATTAATAAAAGATAATTCTCATAATGTACTCATTGAGAGAAAAATACAACTTAAATAGACTCTGAAACTAATTCCCAAAATCTTGGTCCCAACATTAACCCACATATCCTACTTAATTCAACAACTTTCCACATAATTTCCCAATATGACCCAAATACTTAAACTCAACTTATGACTCTTAACTGAACCAAAGTAAATATTTTTCCATAAAAATCTCAACAGCCCCAATGACTTCCCCAAGCTTCTCTAATTACTATGGCCCATGGGCCCATTAGTGGGTTTGTGACATTACCATGCCCTTAAAATTCGACCTTGTCCCCAAGGTCAGAGCCTTCGACAAGCCAAACACAATTCAGTAATATGTGCAGCCTTCCACCAGCTTGACATCCATCACCATGGTAAGAGTTGGGGTAGATGAGCCTTTATATCTGCTTTCTGGCGGCATCAATGGGATCCTTAACATCCCCATATCATCAGCTTTACAATACTGCCCGATCAATGCTCCATGGGTAACTACAGTGAACACATGACCCTCTTTAATCATTTTTTCCAATACTAGGCATGCATTGGAGAAAATTTCAGTTGTGGACCAAGTGGAGATGAGCAGGTTGTATGTCCTTTTACTAGGTCAAATTCCTTTCTCCATTAGTTCCACAAATGGCACTAAATCACTAAATTGGCATTCATCTCTCGCTCCACCACCACTTGGAATTTGTTCTGCTATAACTTGCTCAACCCCAAATTTGCTTTTCTGTGCAACAATGCTAGAGTCCTCTACTCGGTTCCCTTGTATAAGAGCTAAGCAGTTTGGGATCATCTCATATGGAAAAGTGAAGCTTCTCAAGCTTCTCATTTTGGATTGTAGGCCAGAACTCCAAATCATTCCAGAAAGCTCCATATATGGATTGTAGATGTCTTTCAAGAACAAGAGTCAAAGGGCTTGATTCTATTGTTATCTCAACAAATAATGGAAGAAGAGCAATAAAAACAACATAATCACTATTAAGAATGCCAGTGCAAGTTCCCCCGCCATTGTATGTAGAAATATTCTAAGGTGGTGGTTTATTGGATATCTCTACTTCTGTTTCAGTATTCTCCATTGACCTTGAGCAGCATTTTCTAGGCAACATTGCTGCCCTTTGCAGTGGAACAATCTTAAGCTAGGCTGTCCAAGTGGAACTGCGCAGAGTGTAATGGAATAATGGAGGAGAGGTGTTGACGAACTTGCCATAACCACCATCATTTTATTCCACCGACCAGGATCGAGTAAATTCTTTGGTTTGGACTTCTGAATTCCCCACTGTTTTGGCTTTAACTGATTCGCTAAATCATCAACCTTCTCCCAATATGATTTTTCCATAGCATCTGTAAGAGAGCGGTCCAGTGGAAGGAGAGGAAAACCTCCAAAGGTTCCTTTTCTTAGATCATCAATTGTGATCACTATCGTCTTTTCTACTCTTGCGATCATTCATATTACAAAAGTCCACAACAGAAGCCTTTTTAAGAAATTGAATCACACTTGTAGGATGAAAAATGCTATGAAGCCAAATAGCCAATTATTAAGATGCATGGTGGTGTCCAATCTTGGAATACCTCGACTGAGATCTAAAAGCATGTCACGAGGTCCAAACACATCATCATCCAGGGACGCCTTAATTACCTGACTGAATTATTTAAAGCTAGTAGGAGTTGCATTGATCCCCTTGAATTTGACCATAGAAGATGTCTTTGCTTCCCTTAAGGAATCCATTGAGAGAGAGAGATGAGAGTACTGATCGTTAGTGTTGGATTTCGTTGATTCGCTGTTGATTTCCATAGAGTCAAAGAGATCTCCTCTTCCAGAGAACTCTTCAATGGCATCTACTTTCTCATCTTCTTTATTGGAAATGGATTCTAGTTGATCCAAACGATTAGAGAGGGATGCAAACATCTGCACCATTCTCTCCCTAAACTTCTCTTGCTTCGTCACCAACAACCGAACCTTTTTCTTGTAGTTTGAAAAGCCGGTGTTCAAAACCATGATTAGGGTTGGATTTGAGCCGAGCTGAGCCGAATATTATGAGGCTTGAGCTCGGCTTGCCAAGATTGTATAAGGCTTGAGCTTGAGCTCTCGAGCTCGATTTGAACTAGAATATTGAGCTTGAGCTTGAGTCGAGTCAAAAACTCATAAGCTCTAGCTCGATTTAAGGAAAAATGTTTTATAAAAATAAAAAAATTATATATAAAAATATTTTTATTTGATATTTAAAAAATTAAGAATTATATATATATATATATTCAAGCTTGACTTGTGAGCCTCACGAGCTGAGCTCTATTAGGCTTGAGCCCGGCTCGTTTATTAATTAAGCCTTTAAATTGGACTCGAACTTAGCTCGATGCTCGGTTGAAACCAAACCGAGCTGAGTCCGACTCGTTTATTAATTGAGCCTTTAAATTGGGCTCGAGCTCAGCTCGAAGCTTGGTTGAAACCAAACCGAGCTGAGCCGAGCTTTTCATGAGCGAACTCGAGCAGCTTGTGAAGAGCTCGGTTCGTTGCCACCCCTAACAGTGATCCATGGTTGGCTCTAATATCATTTGATACGTGCCTTAGGAAAACTCGCCTCTAAAAGGTAGTTGTTAGAGGGAGGGAACCCAAATGTATATATACCCCATAACATCCCATACTATCGATATGTGATACTCATATTAGCATCCCATATTACCGATATGGAATATCTCACATTAGCATCCCATACTATCAACATGGGACAAATGGATTGCAACATTCCACCACGCTTTACAGTCCCAGCACCCACGGAAGCTGTCTTTGCACTAGTTCACTTAGTCCCGACCGAACATTGCAATACAGACATCACCACCTGTGCCACATGATTGCAATTGGGAGGTATAATGTAGGCCCTGATACCATTTGTTATGACCATGGGTAGGACTAGGACGTAATATAAATTCCGTCTACTTTGAGGGAGACAAATACCTCCAAAGAGATAACTTCCCAACATGACCCAACTATTCAAACGCAACTTATGTCTCTTCACTGGTTCAAAGTAAAAACTTTTCCACAAAAATCTCAACAACGGACCCTATCAAGTTTCTCTAATTACTATGACCCATGGGCCCAGTAGTGGGTCCGTGACATAACCTCGACCCCCTCAACTCCGATGGTAGAGAAGCCTGATGGTTGTTGACCACTCAACCAAGAAGGCATTGGATCAGCAACTTATCCATAACCAGGACGAGGCAGACAGGAAGATGAGATGCATTTAGCGGCAGCACCCGAACTTGTTGACCTACTTGTGACTGGGGGGCTTCGGAAAGCATAAAGCCGCTGCTCTCCTCTGTAATTGTTATTGTCGTTTGACAATGGACCATAGATTCAAACATTATCGTTTGACAATTGTTATTGTCGTTTAACTGGAGGAGGGAAAAGACAATATTCTTGGACCTGGGCCTGGGCAATTTCGTCAAAAACAGATTTAGTTACTCGATCTGCTCCATTTGACCCGACGTTGTATAAGACATTGGGCCCCACACTCCTTCACCTCTATCGTTGTAACCGAAGGCACTGTACTCCATGACTCAAAACACCATTGGAAGCTTGATACATGGAAGATGCGTCACTAATTGCCTAGAGTAATGCGTTTTCTACCATGTTCCTCCACACATCTTTGCAGTTTTGTTCCATAAATAAGATGTCTCTTCTAGGCCTTGAATTTCAACTAGCTTCTCACAACCCTTAAGGATCATTTTTTTTTTTTTTTAACTCCGGTGTGTTTGATAGATTTGGTAATCTTTACAATCATATGCCTCCAACATTTGTAAACTTGATGTTCAGTTTGAAAAGAGTATAAATGCAAATATATACAATACAAAACTATAAATTCATACAAAATATAAAATTTTGCACTTCCAAACTGAGCCTGAAGGATGATCATGAAGTCTCTCGAGGTTCTTGCAATAGCTTACATCATTTATAGTGAGATGTGACATGTGACTGTAGGGTACGAAATTTGCCCTTGCTTAGCCTCAGATGTTCCAAGTTTCTTGAGCATCCAATGTTTTCAATTGCACACCCCTCAAGACGAAATACTTCTTGATTCCAAGAGTCCAATTGAAGATGGTAGCTGTTTCATTGCAGTTCTACTTAGATAAAGCAACTTTAAAGGCTTCATCTTCCCCACTTCCTCTGGTAATTCTTCTAATTGCTCACAACAATTGAGGCTTAAGATTACAATCAAGGAACAGAACTTCAAGAGATTTCAATTGTCCAATTGAAAATGGAAGTTGTTTTATTGCAGTTCTACTTAAATCAAGCTCCCTTAAAGACTCCAGCTTCCCCAATTCCTCTGGTAATTCTTCTAATTGCTTACAATAACCGAGGTATAAAATTTCAAGAGATTTCCAGTGTCCAATTGAAGATGGTAGCTGTTTAATTGCAGTTTCACCTAAATCAAGAGTCGTTAAAGACTCTATCTTCCCCAATTCCTCTGGTAATTCTTCTAATTGCTCACAATAATTGAGATTTAAAAATTCAAGGCATTTCAGTTGTCCAATTGAAGATGGTAGCTGTTTAATTGCAGTTGCACTTAAATCAAGAACCTTTAAAGATTCCATAAACCCCAATTCCTCTGGTATTTCTTCTAATTGCTCACAATAACCGAGGAATAAATCTTCAAGACATTTCCAGTGTCCAATTGAAGAGGGTAGCTGTTTTATTGCAGTTGAATGTAAATCAAGCACTTGTAGAGACTTCAATTCACCAATGCTGTTCGGAAGGTACCCAAGCTTAGAACACCAACTCAAATCCAAATGAACAAGTCTCTTAAGACATCCAATGGATTCACAAACCTCAACCAACTTTGAACAACCTTTAAGAATCAATGTCTCGAGATTTGGGAGCTTTGAGAAGTCGGGGTTCTTTGTTAGATAAACAGAATAACTAAGATCAATGATTTTCAACACGCTAAGGGGCTGCAAAATAAAAAAAAAGTAAAAAAGAATGAACGAAAGGGCAATTAGCTGTAATAAATATATATATAATATAACGATCTAAAGGAAATGACAGTATAAATTGTGTCTTACTTGCATTCCCTCCACCCAAACTTGTTGGAGACGACTCGATTTCATTTCGAGAACAACAAGGTGTGACAAACGAAAATCCACTGGTATAGATTTCAAAGGGCAAAAAGGCCAACAGAGCCATCTTAGCTTTTCCGAGAGATACCTGTAGCTTCTACCAACCAGGGTTACATTCTGAAGCTTCAGCAATCTTAGATTGGACATCCTCTTAAATGCTTCAGTACTTAGTAGTAATGGCTCTCCAAAACACTTGTGCTGCAAAATACAATAAATAAAATAAGTATAGGCTTAGGCCATCCATGGGGGCAGAGCCAAGGGCAATCTTAGATTGGATCAAAGATGCTTCATATTTTTAAGGGATTGGTTAGGTTCAGTTCCTTAATAAAATGGAAACTGAATGGGTAGTGGGTGACTTCAAATAGTTCCAAACCGGAATCACGACATACAATACAGAGTAGATAGTATAGGCAATTGAAGCTCTCTTACCCCCTCAGGTGGCTCAAGGATGAGGCCCTCAATTCTTTTAGTCCCCTGCAACAACAATAAAATGATGTTTTTCATTTTGTTCAAAGATTCAAAAAGTCACAACATCTAGAGAGTAGTCATAGATACTGTAGAGAAATTCTAACATCTAACAAAATCCGAGTCCAAATCCAAAAAGCTGTAGGCCTTTTCGATCGCTTTAACAAATCTGAATTTGGATCCTCATGGATCCACAAGGGGGTTCATATTTGGTCCATCATACTGTAGCCTCAACCAGATTTAACCCTTCATTGCGGCAATGCATCTAATTTTGGTTGGATTAAAATATAAATCAATGATGCACTTTAATTTTGTTCAATTGACTTAATATAACTAAAATCTTTCTAAGTATACGAGGAAATACGTAAATATGAAATATACATATATTTCATGGAGATATTAGGATCTAAATGTATAGGTTGATCATGGGGTGGGACAGGTAACGCTTAACACCTATGATATGGGGGTGTAGCTCAAGCCCAGCCAGTTTCTACGCCTATGGTCTTAACAATAATTTTATAGGGTATATAATATAATATATTATACATAATATGCACTTATGTATTATATCATTGTATTTATATATAATGCATATAATGTAATGGATTATATAAACATATCATAATCATTATTATATATGCATATGCATATATAACAGTATGAATTATATAGTAGTGTAAGGGACTAAGGGCATATTATGGGGGTGTTCTTTTTCTAGATTTTGAGAGGGAGGAAAGTTGATCAATGGGATTTTAATTCCCATTGACCAAAAATCTCATGTTCTTTTTTCAGATTTATGTGGGGACCATGGAAAGTTTATTTTCCCAGGTATCACTTATTCGGCTAAGTGATACCCATCTCCTAGGTGGGTAAATCATTTTTCCACCTTGGGGGAAATTGCCAACACTTCAATGGGACAAAAATGCCCCTTATAATAATGGATTTTTATGATAAAGATACAAATTGATACCAATAAGTGGCTGTAAGCTTTTCTGATATAATGTACTTTTGGTATCATAGTCAAACCCTTTTAAGCGATTATCGCCATAGTTGCATCCCTGCCAAAAATGCCCTAGTAGACAATTCACCTATTCTTTGATGTGGCCAAATCCTTCACCCATTCTCCTTCATATAAAATGGGGGCCACATCATTCCACTTGCTATACTGCTTCTTGGATAAATCTTTCATGAGAAAAAAAGAAATGATAGGAGAAGAGCTTTGACCAATATAATCAATATCCAAGAATTTTTGGTAAATACTTGATGTTTGGTGATATAAGTTTGTGCTTTATTTTTCCTTGAAGCAATCTATATTTGAAACTTTGAAGAAAGTAAACAATAAAATCCACACAAAATTTCAACTATAGCTTATAAATTAACAACAAAAAAGTTGATGCACTTATTTCTTACCTCATGTTTAGTCATTACATCATAAGCATCATCCCATGACCACAATCTGCTTCGCCTTCCAGGTTCTTGAGGAGATTCTCCACGAACAACTTCTCTCCCCATGTCTTGAAGTAAATTGTGCATTCTTAATTTATTATTGTATCCATCAATTCTTACAAGAGATTTGGAAGTGAGAACACTGATTCCAATTTTCGGATAGAAGCCACAGGCATCTAGTATTATAGTTGCATAGTCCTTATCCATTCCATTAAAGAAGCATGAAATGTCAAGGAATATTTCCTTCTGCGTATCATCGAGTCCATTATCATAACTTATTCTAAGTATATTCTGGATTTTGCCATTAGGAATTTTCTGTAGCTTATTTAGAGTGTCTTCCCATTCGGGTATGCTTCTGTTTGATAAATCAGAGCCCAAAACTTCAATAGCTAAAGGAAGGCCTCCAACACGATCTATCATACGATTTGTGAGATCTACATACTTTTCCATGGGATGGTTTAATTTGAAAGCATGCCAACTAAAGAGCTCAGTGGATTGTTTCATACCCAATTCTTTAACCTTATATACCCTATCTATTAGCCCCCTTAGCAAATCCTCATCTCTAGTTGTAATGATTATTCTACTTCCTGCACCAAACCAATTACGCTCTCCAACCAAAAAATTTATCTGTTCTATGTAATGTATATCATCCAGAACCACAAGAACCTTTTTGTTACAAACTCTACTTCTAATCTCAATAATTCCTCTAGCAACATGGTGTATATCTTTTCTCTCTTTCTTCTCCATTAAAACATCAGAAAGAAGTCGTCTTTGTAGGCGAACAAGCTGGTTGCCAAGAGCTTCTCTACCACATCCAAGAAAACTTCTACCTTCAAATTTGAAAAGTATTTGATTATAGACAGCCTTGGCAATGGTTGTTTTACCTATTCCTCCCATCCCACATATCCCCACAATAACCACCTCATCTGATTGGAGATTTAACATTGAAATCACATCGTCTACACGAGAAGTTAATCCAACAGGATATTTAGAAACATACAGCTTTGATGAACTCAAAATAGTTGAAACCACTTCAACGATCTTCTGTATGCATGTTGCCTCATGCCTATCAATCATGTTCCACAGAAAAAAAGTAAACGTCAAACTGAACATACCGAGATTAATGAAATTGTAAAACATGAACAAAGTGAAGAAATTAAAATTTGATGACGATTAATTTTGTCCATCTTTTAAAATATAAGCATGTAAAATGATAGACAGAGTCAGTGGGAGGGATAACAAGACTCAAATGTCCACATCTCTTTTGGAACAAACCCATTGAACCACCGCTCAGTTCTTTCAATTTTAATATCTTTAGTAAATAGTCCAAGTCCACCCATGTTATTTACTCAAGTACTTACTGCAACTATATTTTGATATGCTCATGTCTTAATCTAATTCAATCTTCTATGCACACTTAATTAGAAAACTAATTCAATAAATAAAGGGTTAATGGGTAAGTCCGTAAAAGATTATACATGTACTATTGAAATGGTCCATACTTTTCCAATTCTAATATTGCAAATGCTAGCTAAAACAATTAATTCAAATAAATAACTAGCGTGAAATTAATTTATATTGTATATAGAAAATGGGTCCATGTTGTGAATAGGAGGAGGTTGTTAGGAGTTTGTACAGTTTTGGAGGGTTACTGCACGGGAAGCAGAAATCTAAGGTAACTTGTAGACTTCTATGTTGACAGTTTAGTCTAGGCGAGAGGTAGAGATGCCAAAAGTGTTAGTGTTTAGTGAAGAGGAGGTTGAGGCAGAAACTTGGCCAGAGATGGTGATTCCAATTTTCAGATTTTGGAATTCTAGGTTGGTTTAGATCCTTGAGAAGTATCTGAGTTGTATTTGGATTGTTGATGTATTGCTTTTCAGTTGGATGATTGTCTGGGTTAGTTGTTTGTTGTTTCATTCTTTGCTGGTGTTGATGTGTTTGGGCCTCTCCTTTTGCTACCAAAACCTAAAAAATGGGTATCAATTTAACCATCTGCTTCATGGTGGCAACTATTCGAGCTGGTTATATCATAAATCATATAATAAAAGTGTGAAAATAAAAAAAAAAATTCCATGTCTTTGATATTATATTCATCATGTTAAATGAAATTAAACGAGGGTAATAACAAATGAGAATTACTATTATTAAAGATGAAAATGGCTCAAAATATAAAAGATCCTATAAAAAAATTAAGACCCATTGACTGGGCCAAATGGTTCAATGTAATGGTTAAAGTGGATGGACCACTAGCTAGGTCATTGATTTGGTCAATATTTTCTTTTATAAGTAAATGCCTCAGACTAATTGGACCCTGAGACTTGGTTGGGTGACAGGTCGCCTCTGCCTTTAGCCTCTCAAACTTTGTATTCAATTGAAGTATATGGACACTAGTTTTAATTTCATGTGCTGCATAGACATTCACTTCAAATAGAAACAGGATCTAAATTCATGAAATTGGAAAACTTATGTTTGGCATCGATGTCGATGCTTCAGAAAATGCTTATTTGTTTGGAATCGTTTTTCCATAAAAAACGATGCTTCAATCCATGTCTTAAAAATCAAGAAGGCATGGCATAGAATAATGCCGAATTTGGCGTTTCTTAGAACTGCAACTAGTTGCTGCGAATAATAGTGATAAAAACATTTCCTAGAGCATTGGTACCAAAAAACATATTACATGGCAGCAACGTTTCCAAACAAAAAAAGAGATAATATTTGGCATCAATGCTGCAGATACAACACCGTTTGTTTGAAAATGTTGCTGTGACATTTCCTGTAACAACATCAATGGTCCCAGTGATTCATGTCTGCTGTACCCATTATAAAAGTTCATGTCACTGTCACATGTCCTAATTGGCAGCAACGAGCTGCAATACGACAAACGCCAAATTAGCGTTGCTCCAAACTAAGCCTGAGGAGCAACGGCATCGATGCCAAACAGACGCTTAAAAACCTTGATGAAATATTTATGATCTCATGTTGGAATTCTAGGTCATATGAACTAGTTAAGCTAGAGAGAACAGATGCATGGTATTTCATAATTGAGCGAGTGAGGATATTAGAATTACCCATTGGCAACATTTGGTAAATCCCAACCAGACAAATTCGCAGCTTTTGTGAGGGCTGCCTCCCAACTTTCAACCTTCTTCATCTCCATGTCGGCTCGCTGTTTAACTTTGTCAAATTCTTCTCCAAAATCCCCGGTCTGATTGCGTACATCTGATGGATTAACATCATAGAAAACAGGGAAAACCATCTGATCCATCCTTTCTCGGCATTCCATGATTTTGGCCACCTCCTTCAAGCACCATGTTGAAGAGGCGTAGTTTCTGGAGAAGACGATTATTGCGATCCTTGATTGTTCAATTGCTTTCAGTAGTGCTGGTTCAATCTCCTCTCCTCTTTTGAGCCTTCCGTCATCTCTGAAAGTTCGAATTGCTACACGATGTAAAGCTTCGTACAGGTGATCAGTAAAGTTTCTACGGGTGTCTTCGCCCTTGAAACTCAAAAAGACATCATAATCCCACCGAGAGGTGGAAGAAGAGGAAAGACGTCGACGTTTGTGGGTTACAGTACAAGCGGCCATGGCGTCTCAGTGAAGGAAAGGACAAAGCACGGTGATGCAGTCGAGGCCTACTCATGGAAATAAAGCCTGCAAATAGTACGCGTTTAAAACCACGCGTCTTTTGATGGAAGGAATTCGGATTTGGATTGGACATGATCCGACTTATTTAAAGCGAGGCGTACGTCGTAATTTGTAGGAGAGGCCAAGTGTTCTCCAACAAACACGGTTGTTATGCCCAACATACACGAAATTCACGTAATACTTTCTAACCCGCCAAACATTCAAGAAATAGGTTCCACAAAACCAAAGAAAGTCTACATTTTTTCAGTTTGAGAGGATGAACATCAGAAAATGTGGCATTATTGTCCTAAAAGAGCTATGTTTATAGATATTGATATAGATATAGATATAGATATAATTAATTTCTCCATATACTTAATATAGAAGGGTCATATACTAGTTTATTAAGAAAGTGATTTTGACTGAATGTCTCAAATCTCAACTACTGGGTAGGGGTGGTCATGGTTCAATTAACTAAATCATGCGTTAATTTTTGAAATTGAACTAGAGTTATTGGTTTTTGGAAAACTAGTAACGAACCAAAGGCGATTAATTAACCAATTGACCGGTTCGATTAACCATTGGTTCGCTTTGTTGGTTTTTTGGTTACTATTTAAAATATTTATTATAGAAAAATATATAAATATATAATAAAATACTAAAAATACATATAATATTATATTTTAAATAATAAATAATATATTATATATTATATATTATAAATATATATTAATATATAATGCATATTTATTAATTTATAATGTATAGAAAATATAAAATATATATAATCATATATATACCAGTCAACTCAGTTTTTTTATTTTTTTCGCTCACCCCTACTACTGGGCCATTTATATTCAACAACTAAGAATTTCTTAGAGCTAGAGATTACTTGCTTGAAGATTCCAAAACCCGTTGGGGTCATGGGAATAGGGGTTTGGTTGGGAGGAATCAGAATTCTGTTCCCATTCCCACTGGAATGGCATTCCCCCATGCCTCATTTGAAGGAATAATCATTATTTGTAAAATCTCATTTCTACTGATTTCAATTTCTATTCTCATTCTTATCTGAACCAAATAGACTATGGGAATAGACAATTTTAATTCCGATTTAAACTATGAATCAAACGGACCCTCAATGTGAAACCATGGAGGTAAGGACAAAGAAGGGTATATGCCAGGCTCATCATTCATTTTGGAAAAGCGAAGTTGCTTGAAACCTACCATTCCATCGAAGGTTGCTTGAAGCTTGCGGAGAAATTTCCTTTTCAGAGTTCCACCAAGCGTTGCTTGAAGCTTGCGGAGAAATTTCCTTTTCAGAGTTCCACCAAGCATTTCATGGAAAGTCGATCTGCTGTTGCACAAGTTCAAAAGGGCATCTGTTTATTTGAACACACCAACCATTGGGTCATCTAGGAATGACAGTTTCACATAAATTTTAGGCTATTTGATCATTCCGACCCTAATAGACTAATAGGACTTACTTATCAAAATTCTATATGGTTTGGGATTTTATATTAAAACCCTTAATTAGTATGATACCCGGTACCTGAATCCAATTATACTTAAAAACCCATTGGCTAAGTCAAGAAGTGTTCAGCCAAAATATTTTAATGATTGAACCATTTGGCCCAACCTACAAATCACGGTTCGGACTATTAGTAATATTGATTTTTATATTTTTCGAACCCAAAATTGATTTTCATATTTTAATGAATTTTAAACATCAAAACTTAGATTTGAACTTCCAATATAATTCAATCAACCGGTCAATCTAATAATCTTTTCCGGTAATAATGGCATATATTGTAGATCTATTTTAGACCATAAAAGACACATTAAAAATGGAATTGTTTTGACCACTGATTCCCGCCTAGACTATTTTTGCTTTTTGGTCCAAAACGGGACCCGGAGCCTAGGTCAACTGGTCCGATCAGGTTTTCAAAACCATGTAACAAATTGTCCAAGACCCATATTCATGGGCCAGGTTTGGGTTTAGCTTTTGATAAATTTGAATGATCCCTATACATGAACAGATTTCCAGATTACACATGAAACTAATTCAGGTAAAGAATAGAAAATGGAGGCCAAGCAGGAGAATTGAAGGAATGGTGAGTCAAGAATTTCCCCACTACTTGTGAAGTTCACCATGACCAATTCATTACTTCTGATTCTCTTTTGCACAAAAATTTTAGGAACAAACATTATTATAGCATGTGTGCCCACAAGAGAAGGAGCTTACCAATGTCAAACAAGAGAAAAGACACTCTCTGTTGTTTCCACATGGACCAAATCTAGTAGAAATTTGGCTGGAAAATGGACAAAGAATCAGATTAAAGAAACTATCTTCTTGAAAAGAAAAAAAGACTATGATTATCATTTCATCCAATAGGGCTGGCCCTGCTAGAAAATGCTTATTGAATTCTTTCGCAGGAGTGGATTAAATCTGCAAAAGAAGCAATTTTTTTTTATCTACAGGCCAACCGTACGTGCAAATAGTTGAAACAATTCAACGAAGAGGCTGCTAGCAACTAAAATTGGCACCAAGTATTATTCTCTTCAAGTTAATTAGTTATTGGCCCCATTCAGGTTAAGGGCCAATCCAAGACCAACCTAGATACCTGATTTCTATTATTGTAAAATGGTATCAAAACTGAGAGTAGAGCAAGAAAACTCTCCGAAATTGTAGTGAGTGAGGGTTCAACTATGATATGGAAAACATATGATATCCGAAAAACAATCGACCAATAAAACAGAATCATGAACGTGATAGGGAACATGGTGTGATTTATTAAGATTCATGGGTGGGATTTGATTGGTCAAAACTCTTTCCATACCATATCTTTTCTGCATCATAGATTTTCCCAGTAAATATGAACAAGATATTTATAGATACATATGTAACTAGTTCTTCTATAATTTAATACATGTGGAAATTAACAGGTGTAGTTAAGTAGCTGAGAAGATGTAATGCCCATCTTGAAAATGAAGCTTTGAAATTTTGGCACCCCGAGAGCTTTGGTTAGGAGATTTGTTAGTTGTTACTATTGATGTGAAAGGTTTTAATCTCATTGCTCTGGATACGCTCCCGAACAAAATGTCAGTCAATGTTTAGGATGCTTTATGCATTCATGGAAAACCGAATTAGCGGTGAAATGGAGGGTAGCTTGACTATCACAATGCAACTCCATGGGTGTCATAATGTAAATTGTTAAATTTGCAAAAACTCGTTTAAGCCAAATAAGCTCTGAAGTTGTGACTATCATAGCTCAGTATTCGGCTTCTATAGAGGATCATGACACAATGTGTTGGTTCTTGGTTTTCCAAGAGAGTGGAGACTATCCAAGCATCGTGATATAACCTATTGTTGAGAATCGGATAAGTGGACAACTGGCCCAGTTAGAGTTATAGAAGGCCTGAACTACAAAATCATTAATGGATGAGATAAAGATTTCATGATGAGGAGTGGAGTTGAGATACCTAACCACTTGTAAGGCTGTCAGGAGGTGTTATTCATGTGGATCTTGCATGATTTGGTTGAGTTGATTTAGTGTAAAGCTAAGGTCAGGCCTTGTGGATGTAAGGTAGAGAAGGTGGTGCACTAAAAGCCTATATTGGGCTGGATATGAAAGTACTGGATTGACATCATTATAAAAATGTTGTTGTTATTCCATATGAGTCAAACATGGATTGCATTTGTGCATCTTAGTTTCATGTAGAATGCCAATGATGTGTTTATGCTAACTAAGGAAGATGCCTAAGTCTGAACGGACCACCTCAATTAGTGTTTTTATGCTAAAACACTAATTGAGATGAGATTTGAGGGTGGTGATAGAGGTTGGGCCATTCCCTGTTACAATTAAATCATCTACATATACAAGGATTACAACAAAGGAGCTCTCTTACTTGCTTGTGAAAAGTGAATAGTCAATTGCTGATTGGGTAAATCTGGCTTACACGAGGGCATGAGTAAATTTTTGCAATCACATCCATGAAGCTTGTTTGAGGCCATACAAGGACTTTTGAAGTTTGCAAACACAATTGTTTCTATCTTTAGCAAATCCAAGAGGAATGCGCATGTAAACATCTTCATGGAGTTTACCATGAAGAAGAGTGATGAGGGGTAATTTGGCTTGACCTATCAACACCTGGACACATGGAAGCGATCTATTGACTAGGTGATGACTCGGCATTTCCTACCATCTCAACAGGCCAGGTCCACTCAGATACCTTGGACACCTCAGCTTAGACCGAGGTCCATGCTGCTCGTGATGGCCCAACCTACCGAGGTAACATGTAGCCAATTTTTAGAACCTATCTAGCTATCTCCGACCTCTCTGGAATCACATTGCATGTTTGCAAGCCTTATCCTCATCTTGCTCGAATCAGGCGGACTCGATAAGCCTTATCAACTAACACAAAGTCCACCTCCTGGTGCAGAACGGATTCGTAGTAGTACAAGCCAGAGATCTCATGGGTGTTTTGTAAGACCTACGACAACTCACATATATAAGGGGACCAACCCTAATGTCTCAAGGTACGTGCGATTACTTGCTAACCAGCTTACTAGCATTCAACCTATCAGCTCACATACCAGAGTACTAACTTAAGCATCAGAAAACCCACACCGAGTAAGCCACCCCAGGTTCTCAGAGTGTTACTTCCTTGTAGTTCGATCGGCCAACAAAGCAAACCGATGTCCGAGCTGCCCTCCAGCTAAGAGCATCCAGATCATACAACATCAATTGGCATTGTCTATGAAAACCACTACATAAAAGCTAAGTTCATACCTCTTTTTTACTTTTTGCAAAACTTCAATGGCTTCTTCCAGTAGCACAGAGTGAGGAGTGAGGATCCAGCCCGAGATCACTCCTATCACCTCGGCAACTAGGGCCTAGCCCTTGATTGGGAGAACATCAGCAAACAGGACCTGCCCCCTTTTCGCGATGAAGTCAGACACCGGGAGAATATTAGGGACAAGACTCTAGCCAATACTAAAGTTAATAGCATCAATGAGGCGACCAAGAAAAAAAGCCACAAACGCGCTCGTTGCACCTTAGGAAAGAGCA